TTCTATGATTGATGAATAAGATGTAATTAGTTTATCTGACGTGTGATCCTTACCATTACGTTTATGACTTGTATGTAACCTCTACTCATACCCAACATAAAATGACCTTCTGTATTACAATTGTGACTAAATACTTCACGATAATCAATTTCTTAAACTGAACATAAAAAGGACTTATGTGTAAAACGTATCTAAAAATGAAGAATATGTCAGGTGAAGATTAAAATTAAAAAACTTTACATTGGTAAACTTCTTAATGTTTTATCAAAAGAATATAAAAATGACTTATTTTACCGTTTTAATTACACATCATGAACCTTTGTTCATTTTAGAGTTAGAAAGTATGACTAGAACTAAATTTTTATCAGATCATGATTAACTCTAATCGATATCTTTAGTACAACTAATGAAGTTATTTTAGGACAGTAATGATGATTTATAGCTCATGTGGATGATTTTGATGAAGTCTCGTTCTCTAAGATGGATAGTTCAGTTATGAACCTTTATTGTTCTTCCGAAAAAAATATCAACACAAATTCCAGGTGGAAGTTAAGTACTCCACTGGCAGCTTATTTTATCAACCTTTATCTTAACTGATTACTGTCAATCAATGACCTGTCGTTATATTTATGGTTATTTTGATAGTCTACCTCTCCGACTTAATTCTTGTTCCTCTTCATTTGCTTCTGCATGAACACCAGATAGCTGTTAAATGCTGCGATGTATCTTTGTTAGTAGCGATTCATGTAGACATTTAGGGACACATGTTCAACAGAGTAATTGTTGGAGTTTCAGATATAAAGAACGCAAAGAAAAAATAGAGGATCTTTAGGAGCCTGATAATCGGGTCGTTCAGTAGTTAATAAACAAGTCGAAATCAACCCGATTTACCAATCACTTGAAAATTCGTGGACAAATATGGCATCAAGAATATGGTCGAAGAGGTAGACTGTAAAAATAAACACACATATAACAACAGGTCGTAAGCCGACAATAATCAGTTAAGATCAAGGTCAACAAAACGAGCTGTTAGTGGAGTACCTAACTTTCAACTGAGCTTTGTTCCAATCCCTTTGTTCGGAAGAATAGCGAAAGCTTCAGGATTAAATCATTCGGCTCAAAGAATATAAATCTACCAAAAAGGTTATTTTTACTTAGAAACTACTGTGGCCGTATTCTAACATCCAATAGCTGAATCTTTAATCTAGTGGTATTTCTCAAGTATAAATTTTAACTATAATCTCGAAAGTATGTCTGACCTAAAAACAAATGTGGTAAATTAAACACGTTGTCACTAACAGCTAATCTGAGAAAACAATTCTGTCTTTCACTGGAATTAAACTGTTAATATCATCTAAAACAGAATAAACTTTTCGAGAAGTACATTTTTTTAGAAAAGTGATTTGCGAAAGCAGCAGAGATTTTGCATTAGAAAATTCTGATTTTCAGTCTACCATACTCTCATGTTTATTTATGACCGAAAAGAAATTATCGTATGAAATGGATGGAATGGAATAAATCTTTATTAGTAAAAATGGTTATAACACGATATTAGTAGTAGTTACCAGCTCTAATCATTACTTTACAGCTATATCTGGAATATAATTTCAATGTATTAATGCTACAAAATTGACAAGACACCTAACATAAAATAACTGGGAGGACTTTACATATTAAAGCAAAGTGCACAGAACTGTTATTTTTGTTTTATTGAATATATCAAAACTTCAAATATTTCATATTTTGTAATTTTATTGATCAATATTTTTTTAATCGTATTTCCATGCGTGATAGTCACTTATAATAATTTCCCAAAACGATAAACCTTCTTAAGGAATTGTTATTGATAATGATTATATTAAATTAGGGCTATTGGTATGTTTTAAAATTAGTATTATTTAGCTGCAAGGAAATAATTTTACCTTACTAATTACAACGTATCGTGGGTTTTACAGATCAGTCAAAACCCGGAAAAACTGCTGATTTAATAGCGCTTTTCGAAATGTTGGGAAGTCAGTATGGCAAGCTATATCTAGAAAATTCTGACCTTTTGAAACACCATCACCAAAGCAAACAAGTAGAAGCTCAGTAAGTTTAAAAGTACTCTTTTTATATGTATCCAATTTAATTATTATATGCGTTAACTCAAAGTGATACGCTTACATAAAAATTTCGGCACATATTATTCGGTTCCCTAATTTGAAGTATAAAATGTAACAGCGTGGTTTTATATTTGTCGCATCAGTGAAGTAAAAAATTGTCATCAAAAAATTCGACTTTAACTTTGGAACGTTTTGGTAATGTCCTCTATTTATTCAGGTATTAATGGAATTCATAACAAAAATAATAAAAGTAAATTGGCAAGCAAGCATTCCAAATCCTCATAAAATATTATTTCCCATGAATTCATAGCCAATCATCAAGGTGAATTTCAAAAATCCCTATTGTTATTTCGATTTCCACCATCTGAGTTATTTTGTTATTTGAGATCTAAATTTGGTCCGATAGTCGTTATCCCAATCCAATAAGCATTGTTTTGATTTTAGTTAAGATCATGAACTGACCGATGTTGGACCACCACTAAAAACTTGGGAGCACTATACGACCGTTTTGTCATAGTATGGGACTCCTCGGTAGTTAAAGATATACTTTGATGACGAATTTCAACTAGCGTGGATCTTAAATCGGTTAAGTGCAATACTATGCACTCTCTGCGTCTATTTGCTGTCTGTTTATCTAACTTGTTATTTAAAAGTAACTTATGTTTGAACTTTAGGCTGGAGCGAAACCATTTTTCAGTGGGATTAACTTTGACTGGATGAATTTTTTAATCGTCACGTATATTTCCAAAACTACAAGTATTGGGTAGTGAATGTGTAACATTTTCAATTCACTAGACCATTCACATAGGTGTCAGTAGCATGAATTTGCAGTACCTAATTATTTAAATAATTATGAGTCAATAAGTATTCGGATTATTCCAGCATCTACTTTTTGAATATCTCAGTGCTGCCTAACATTTTATCTTGCTTCTTAAAGACTAAACAGGCTTTATCGATAATGCCATGTCTCTAAGTTTGTGATCTTACAACAACAGCAATTTATGCTGCTCTTAAGATAACAAAACTGTCTTTCTTCGTTCATGAGGATATGAGCCACTATCACTGTCTGTTAGTTTTCGCATCTTTATTAATATGTTTTCTAAGAATGCATGTAGTTTGATATGATTTCAGCTGAGAAGCCTAATGGGATGAAGAAGTGTAAACATTCATTAAGAACAGCTTGCAATATTGTTTCTAAAAGACGTTTGTAGGTCTGTAACACGCTTATGAAGCTGAGTTGCTCATGTCAATCGACTGGACTACAAGTATGTGTTTTGGAGACAGTATAAAATAAAACTAAAAGTCGAAAATTGTTAAAAGCATTGTCAAAACCAATAAAACTAAATAGCGAAGATATATTATAGTAAACTATTGGGAAATTGTCTGTTATAATTGAGTAGAATCAACACGTAATAAGCATGCTTTCTGTGGTATAATGACACCAAACACGAAATTAATTCTCCATAAGTAATTATCACTTCCCTTTCTAAAGTGTTAATGGAGTCTCAATATTTGTGCAATTTTGGTACTGTGTAATATAATTGAGTCGTAATTAACTTCATCTTAAATAAAGACGTTACGATTTGGTTAAATATAGCACTCGCTTAAAAATCACCTAGTTGGCACTTGTTAACAAGGCATACCTAAAATCGTGAAGGAACTGATGATCCTTGCAGGATTCGAACCAGCACCATCTAGCTTCACAATACATTATTGCTAAAATCTTCGGGCCATTATTGATACCTTGTAGACTTAGATATCTAAATTGATTGATCACTGACTAGTGATAAATATCACTTTATTCTAGTCTAACTGACAAGTGCCAATTAGCAGTTAACCTATGTACAAAGTTTCCTACCGACTCCTGTCAAGCACCTTAAATCGAAATCTAATGATTTTTGACAAGATAATAATCAAAATAAAACGTTTTAAATAGCATATGGTTGTATTTTGATACGGTTCATAGTCTATATATTAAGTAGTGATATGGCTATGTAAATAAGCACGATCAATAACAGTTGTGTGTTCACAAATGCATACTTCTCAACTAACAAGACACTATGCACATGGATGTAAAGTATGTGTACGTAAATGCTTATTAGTGTGTGTTTATTACTTAGAAAACGTCGGTAAGTTTTAGAGGTTGATCAATAAATTCATTTATGCATTTTGACTTTAGTACACAATTTTGAAGCACACTCTTACCAACAGAATAATCAATTTCGAGCAGCTGACTGACTAACAACTGATTATTTTATCTATTCTGTGAACATTTCTATGGAGTAATTAGTTGTAAATTTTAAAATGTTTAATTATGATATAAAATCAAATAATTATGTGTAGAATGTTTTGATTTTTAATGGGTTTTCTTTAAATGTAACCTTACCTATGGTTCACTAGAGAAGATAGGTTATGCTTTTCAGTCGCTGTTTGCTTTTAGGAATCAAGATGTGTATTAAACGAGATAGGAAAATACTGTTTATTAGAAAGGGTACAGATGTTACATTCATGATAACCCATACATCCATGAAAATCAACAATTTCCAAAGGTATTTTAGAGAGTTGTTTGTATGATAACTCATGTATATAAATCTATTAATGATTGATTATTGATCTGCTTAATGATTTCATGATCTAGAAGCAAAGTGCCAATAATTGCATACAAACAAATACTTTAAAGCTATTATATATATAAGTCAATCTTACTTATGACATGTGATACGTATAGAAATGATTTCATTTATCTATTTAGTGAATTCTTAGAAATAAAGACATTCAAAGATTACTAGTTACACATAGCATGTATGTATGATGATATATTATTGGTCAATTTACGTCATTTTTAAAAATAAGACCCACGGTAGCAATAATAACAGCATTAGAAAATATAGTAGAGATATTACATTTTATACCAGTAAAGTTCAAACAAATCACTCATATGCCAGTAGGATTTTTTAAAGTACTAATGAGAATTTACATTAACTCAAAGAGCTTCATAAAAATAATCAACTTCATTTGTTAATGTTCTTTATTATGTATGAAAAATCAGAGAAATCACATAATGCACCATTTTTCCAGGTGTCACCTATATCCTCTCAATCATTATCTTCACCATTGTCATCGAAGAAGTCCAATCAAACAATAGTGAGTGCGAAAAAATTACACAATCCATTGGATAATGAAATCTTCCTAATACACCCACCGAACACTACTGTTTGTATTGGTGACAATAATCATAATAAAAATGAGGATTTTCAACACACTGTATGTCAAACAGTAAATAAGAAAAATGATAAGAGAAGCACTAAAGAGAAAAATAATGGTCAAAAATCGTCTTTATGTAGTCAACTTTTTCCTTGTTGCGTTAGTAAACAGTCTAAACCAGCAAAAAATTCTTCTTTTTTTACTAGACCAAATGATAACGACGATGATTGTGACAATAATGATAATCATAAAGATACTGGAAATAAACAAAAACTAATCACTGAGTCACCGTCTACAGAAGTTGATTATTTAGATAATTCAGATGAAGCTACTTTAAGATTAAAGGTAAGCATTGTATTTTCCGAAAACATTTTTAATGATCTAAGGTACGATTTCATTATATTTAAAGAAAACAAAGAGATTCTACCTCTTTGTAGACACAAACTATGTGACATATGGGTGTAAAATAGTAAAATCTAATATGAAATTGACCAGGTAATAAAATATATCATTCTAATAAAAGAGAAAAGTTAGCAATTTTCGACCATTATAACAGCAATTAAAAGGTATACAGACATCGATATCACTAAGCACTATCATATGTGTAGGTAGTTTTACTGTCAGTCTCCGACGAAGAGAATCCACATGGGGTATAACACTAACATCGTTTTCAAACTTCTTGAAACATCGGTAATAGGAACTGAATTTGAAAGTTTTTCCGTTTCTACGATATTTGGCGAGACTAAAAACCACAAATTTCGACCAATATTCAATCTCCGATTTTATTCAAAATTGAATACAATTGTTTCTTGAAAACAGATAAAATGTAATGTTGAACGGACTTGAAATTCTAGAGGCTTTCACCATTTAATCAATTATGAAATTCATATCCAGCTAAAAGAAACAGTTCTAAACTTCGAGGAAACTGCATTATCATCTGTTCCAAGTCTGATGCTATAATTATTCATGACAGTGATACTGTACATTCAGATTTATTTTAAGAATAACAATAAAAATAAATGGTAAAAACATTCCAATTTCCTGTGGGAATATCAAAGAAAAGTATCTAAACCTGACTGACCAATAGTTTATGATTAACAGATTCATTTTTAATGCTGCCATAAATCTGGGTAGGTTTCCATGAGTACGTATATGTTTGAATACATATTATTTGTATTTGCTACTACCCTTTCTATGGTAAAATTTATAATATGATTTGTGTTCTTTCTTTGGAATTCTGACGTTTTCAAACGGTTTTCATTGACCAGTTGTTTGATAAGTCATTTAGAAGCACATAAGCAGACTGGTACAATGTCACATCTACTGAATGTCACGAATGTAAAAGCATTTGGCGCATTAAGCGACCAGTATAATCACATTTAGAACAGTCATGTGACCTAACACATATTTTTTCTATCATATTTCCCACGTGTTGTCTGACCTTAATAATTATGAATCATCCAGAATAAATATTTGTTTATTAGCGCATAGAATAATCAATATTATCACTTAGCTTTTTTGATTTAGTAGTAAACTGTACTATAGTAAACAATTTTACAAAGAATAATTAGTATACGTTTTATTCAAAGATTGTCCATACTTGGAAAAGTGAATCCAATAGTGTTCGCAGTATAAGAATTTGTGGTCGAGAGACATTTTAAATGTATCGAAATAGACGTACTTATGGGGTTGTCAGTGACTTGTTCTATTTCCTGTATACCTTATTATAAACCTGGAATAATTTTGTGTAACTGTTTTTTCTCGTTCTTGAAACTTTATGACTACCTTTCCATAGTTTCTAATAACAAGAATTAAAACATAGATGCGAGCTCCGACCGCCTAAAATATGATGGACTCAGTCTTTTAAAAGTCGTTTATTTGTGATTTGTACAATCACAAAATTTCCCCCAAAATATTGGTCATTAAAAACCATGAGCAATAAATAATTTGATGAGCCAACAAAAGCGATCATCCTTCAACTTAGTAACGGTGTTACGAAAACGGGATTTTAAAGTTCTCATATGTTTAAGTCCTTAATAAACCTACATAGATATTTAACTTGTTTTCCTTCACGAAAATAAAATTATGGATTATATTCGCTTTGATTTAGATTAACCGAAAAGTTCCAACTCTATGTTATTTCTATCCATCTTTAATGATATTGTAACTTAATCTTATACTGTTAGTAATTGCCCAAAACTTATGCTGACCACTTTGTGGTAATAATTTACATTATGGTGGAATGATAAACAAATTTACAAACCAGTCTTTGTATCACAAGTATAAAATCGATTTTCATACAGACTGAAAGGATATAAAATCAGTAACTTTTATTATAATGCACTAACCGAAGATTACGTGATGACCATTTTTATATTGTGTGATTAGTAACAGATGATTTGGTACCAATTCTCTAGAATAGAAGTATAGGAATTGATTCCTCCCAAAAAATTCAAAAATAAGTATTTTTGAGCCCAATATTTGACTATTGTAGTGATCCAGATTGATTACATTCTAAAAATATTGTGTTTGATTAGTTAGATATATTCTGAAGGTACTACTGAATTAATTTATCATACAGCATGAAAACACAATAGACAAAACCTTCTCATTTTAATTTTTCTATGATTAGATCAGGAACAATTAAGATCTATATTTCACTTACACTTTTTCATCATCAACAACCATCTGGTACCTTATTCCAGTATGGCTATAACTTGTATAACATCACATCGTTTATGCTTAGAATGAATTTATTTAGATATTAGCTCTCTTTCTCTATGATGAGGTGACTGTTTATGTTTTTTGTAAGTTTTTGTTACAACACCTAAAATGTATGATTAATATCTAACATGTGAAAATAGCCACGATCTGTTTAAAATGTCAACAATCATTTATGAAACTATTCATTTTGAATCAGAACTAAGCCTTCCATTAAGGTAAACAAATACCCAAGTATGTAACTTCGAAAACATTTCTAATAAAAAACCATATTCTACAGTACACTGAATCTAAGTAAATTTTTTCTCAATATACTCAAAGTAAATGTTTTCACATTTAAGACCTATTGAATTTTCGCATTCTGCTTCCGCAATAAATTTGTCATGATCCCATCAATATTAATCATGGCAAATGCGCTCTTTGCATAACAAAATTTAACAGTTACTTACTTTTAACTCCTCAGTAATCATACAAATTCATCTAGTGTACAAACACCATAACTTAACATGATTGTTTCTAGAATTTCATTTTATTTTATCCATGATCCTTCTTCATTTTATTATCATGTTTATCAATATTTTTAATAAATTACATTTATGTTTTAAAATCCTAGTTTTATTTTTAACTCCCTTCCTCCGCTTCATTGAATACCTTCTCCTCATACTTATCAGTTGATTCTTAATGACGGTCAATTGATTTATTATAACTTCCAGAAGTTAATTTAAATTTCATATGTGAATAATAGGTAGATGCCTTAATTTTATCACTTTTAGGATTCCTTTAGGACCTATGAAGAACGTCAGAAATATAAATCTATCATTCAGGATGCTCCATTGTATCAAATATATACAGAAAAGGCTTCAATCAGTGAATCAAGACGTGATGCACGAAGACTTTTAGGTTAGTTAACTTCAAGTGTAATTCTTATTTTCATTTATTGTTTTACATATTTTTCAGATGAATAAGGTTTTACTTTTATATCAGTAACTCATAATTTATATCTTGAATATTACCGTTAGCTGATCGAGTTTGTTACGTTCACAATATCCAGTATCTAATCTATTAGGAGGCAGTATTAAACTATGAATCACATTGGATTAGACTTTGAATTAAAATAAAGGAAGTATTTCATTGATTTTTTCCATAAAACATATAGTGGATATTAAATATATTTCAATTATATTATTATTGAAAACAATCGTAATTTTTAATATCTCTAGCTGACCATACTGCATATTCCATCCTGGTTATCGTATATTGATAATTATTTCAAACAAACATTATGCGATAAACTGAAGGAAGATACTTTTTTTATATATTATATCAATTTTCAAGAAAACAATTTTACAGTATCGTAGTTTAGGTAAGAAAATTATTACATGCCAACAATTGTAAACTATTAAATTACTTGGAGAACAGTTCAATAGATCATACGCCTTTTGTCAGCTTCTATAGCCAACCAATTTCTTCAAAGATTATACTTAGTCTTAATTTATGTATTGACTGGAGAATAAATTCATGTGATGAGTTGAACTAATTTATCATAGATTCAAGGAAATTTCAAGGTGTTTCAAATTACCTTAGAAAGTGCTAATATACTAGTACAAATTTTAAAGTGAACTAGTGATATTAATAATATATGTTCTATTGACTTTAAGACGAAAAGCTTAAATGAGTTAGTATACAAAAATTGATATTTTATAAAGCTTTTGCTGCCTAGATAGTTTTTATATATCCAGGCTTATTAGTCAATTAAAATAATCTTATATATTATTTTCCGTATTTTTTCTTATAAAGTTTAGATCAGTGTTTGATAAATAATGGACCGTTGGTTTAAAAAATGATAGTAACTTTTAATATAATTTGTTCATATATATTACTGTCTAGCGCTCAGTGGTATTCGTAGCATCATGTAGAAAGTGATATCTGTTAGTTAAATAGTTAATACCGTCTTCTTATGCCCAGTATCATCAAACAAAACACAATGAATTCTAGCAAGAACTCAACATATCAGCTGTTTATATAAAGAAACTGACATTCCTGTAACAAATTCTGAATATAAGGTTATAAACAAAGTGTATATTTTAAGTAAAGGCTTTCTTAATATGCAAAACTAATTTATTTCCGCCATTGTACTTAGAAAATCTGCTGCTCTTAATTTTTTGTAAGTTTCTTAACTAATACAGAACTATTTTTCGCTCTTTAGATTAAAAAATAACACTGAGAATCGTTTATTTCCCTTATTAGAATAAAGAAATTAGAATAACCTCATGACTCATACAGTTTTATCAAACATTTGTTTCACTGTATTGCTAAAAGAAAACAAATCTGTAGAAAACTAAGGAAATATCACGATGTATGCTACCTATATTGACAGATATACGTAGTGTGTAGCATCAATCGAAAGTGGAATGCATGCCAGTAGGAGATTGAGAAGTTTCAATTGAAGAGAACAGAAAGGGAAACAAAAAGTAATTAAAATAGCAACATAATTGAAAAAACCATAAAACATGTAAAGAACAACTGATGGATGATGTATTTGATGTATAGTTTACATATTATACGAAATCACTCTGTAATTTTGCATTAAACAACAAATTGGTTATCCCCACTAAATCTGCGTTCACTTCAATATATGGACGCATATATCTATACAATAAGTTTAATTGTCATAATCTATTGTATAATTCATGAATTTCTTTGTCTACATTATTTGAAATATTTTTAATTACATTCCAAAACTTATAATAATGTAAGTTTAAGTACAGAAATTTACAAAAACTATTTACATTATTCTGATCAATTAAGGAATCATACAACTAGATTCTTTTATTTTTTTCAATGAAAATTCATTCCGATTACATGCATATACAGATATATTAGGAAGACGTTTATGCGACTTGTAGAAATATGCTGCTAATGTAGATAATAACTTGAATTCTGTCTCAGACTATATACACTTGAACATACTAAACTATACTAGATATATAAAGAACCTTAGTTAAATTAAAAAGTCTTTCTAAGAAGACTAGAATATGTGAAACTCAGTTGATGAATGTATCAATGTTTTGTGCTCAAGAAATTTTCCGAATAATTTAGATTTTTATCTATTTAGAAAAAAAAATACTTGTTTGTTTAAAACCCATATTTAACTGTCATTAAATTGTTTAGCTCTCGTTCAACCTGGCTCTTTGGATAATCCATCAAATAATTTAAAATTTGATGATGAATTATTTACTGCAATAGATGGTGATGAATCCGATCCAAATAATCCGTATTCACAGAAAGTACCTGGTAGTTTGATAGATAGTCAGCAATCATCGATTCGTATGAAAAATTCTGAGCGAAGAGATTTGCCATTTCATCCACAGAATAGCGGTTCTTCCTCATTCAGATCAAGGAATAGTGACTCACTGAAAACCTCTTCGGTTAAGCGCGCTCATTCAAATTCTAATGCTAGTGAAAGAAGTGGAAAGCAAAATTTTATTTCTAAGCCGCGAAGACAGACTCAAGAAGTTCAGAGTTTCGTGAATGAAGTCGCTGGAACTGGACCTAATCGTGTACAGTGGTTTGAAATGCCTCAAGTGATCAGCGCAGGTTTGGCCAGGGACCTACCTGATTATCAAAAGAAGTTGCAAGAGGTCTGTTTTTATTATCTTATTATTTACTGTGATCACTATTTTCGTGTAATTCCGTATCTTATTCTGATAATAATATACAAGTTTCTTGTGCGCGAGCCCAAAATAAAATAATTGAATGGGAATGATGCTTTATTAGATAACTGAATAGACATATATTCGACGTATAATGAGTATTTCGTTCCTTAAGAAAGAAAGCTAACTCTTGGCCAATAGCGTGAGATTATCATTTGCTCGTTGTCTGTTCTAACCTCTGGATCAATTAGCAACAATAATAACACTCTCAATTAATTACTGGAAATATATCGTCCAGCTTTTTCAAACGACCAAATGTTGTGTCTAATATCCAGTGACAAACTAGCTCCGCTTTATTATTATTTGAACCATACATTCCACAACATTTTAATTACAACATAAGTTCGCAACGATAAATAGCCGCTAGGAACCTTTCAGTTGGTTTTAAGTATATCCCAGTAGAATAAATGTATAAATAAAATTAATATGACCTTATTAAAACAGGCCGACTAACACTCATTTCTCTGATGTACACAATCAATGATAAAAATCAAAGTTGCCACGCTTCTACTAGTATACTTAAAATTTCTGGTCACGAGGATAAATCGACTGTAAAAAACAACGATAAAATCACGATTACCTGATACTGATAAACCGCGAATGCATACTGAATTGAGAACTGTTCAAAAAACTGAATCTTATTACTTAATATAATGCATGGTGATTTACATCCTAAATGACAGTTAAAAGACTGGAATGCTTTTCATATACAATCGAGTTATGTTGCTTGACATTTCGAAACGAAACATGAACACATGCAAGATCATAAATTAGAAAGACATAACGAAAAATTACATATATAACCATTTGATATGAAGTGAAATTTTTAAGTTACTAAATATCAAAGCAGATTACTGACTATTGATGTCTATAAAGCTAGCTACTTATCAAAATATAGTCGGAATCAATTCATTCAAAAAATGACCTAACAATACTCATTATGTATAATACTCAGGCATAAGTAAGGTTAAGTATTTCACAGCTTATTATTGCAACTTTGTAACTTTGGGAAAACAGAACACAATACGGAATAAAAATGTTAACGTAAACATAGATTACCGAGTGGAAGTTTTTCTTCAACCTGCAATCCTTTTTTGAAACCATGAGTGTTAATACACGTTACTCTTAAACAGTCGTCTAGACATTATACAAGTACTAGTTCATTATCTAATTTCATAGAGCCACCAAACAAAATCGGTTAGATAAATATGAATTCTTGATGTCACTACATTGAGTAACCCAGCTGACTTATTTGTTTGATTTCAGTAACAAATTGATAGGAAAAATGGCCATGAGTGTTGTTTGTTTCTGTAAAGTCGAAAGTAGACAATTGCCTTTTCCAAAAAGCTGAAACTTGAGATTTTCATTTGACGTTTTAATTTAATATAATAATTGGTAGTATTTGATTCATGTAAAGCAAATAGTCAGGTTTAGCGTTTATACTTTTCAAAGTTATGTGACTTTTTCGTTGTATAAAAAAATTAGTGGTATTCTTGACACCGCTGAGTAAAGGAAGAATTGGACCCTGTCATCTTACCAATTCGTAATACCAAAATGATTATTTCCCTTTTTCAGGCACTGTTTGAAGTTATAACGTCAGAAGCGTCTTACTATCGAACCCTGCATATTTTAATAGAAAAGTTTTATAAAGCTCAGTGTATGCAGCCAGATTCTAAAACGTCTGTTATAACAGCTATTGAGAAACGACACTTATTTTCAAATATATCGGAAATATTTTTCACTAGTGAAACGTAAGTTCAAATATAAGTTTCTATTTTACCATATTGATTTTTATTCTTATATATTTACGAATTATATTCAAAATTTTGCTTGAACAATTATATATAAAATTTGATGATGATTTATGCTGTTTGATCTCGGAAATCAATTTTCACACTACTTTTACGAAAAACGAACCAAATAGTATATATCTCTGTCATTTTATATCATCACTTCATAGATCTTTTCAATTAATAGGACCTGACTGTTGTCATTCATCCTCAAAATCAATGACAATATCTATCATATAATTCGTTGACCCTTAGTTTCACTTACATTGGATGCTAGGTTGAATCCAATGAACATTTGTATGGAACGTCAATTCGAGTTCTGAAGTTTATTTACAAATCTTATTAAATTTCGTTGAGAAATAACTACTGATGAGTATTTAAAATTTCGTGATAACTTTTAGATTCTCAGGAGTATGTAACACTGAATAAAATAATAATTAGTAATTTTTCTTAGTTCTTTCAGATATTCATGTAATTGAATCCTTTATCCCTTGTCTAATACCTATTTTTACTGGAGAAACCATTCGAAATAATTTAATTAACGTTGGATTTTGTATTTTGTTACCCAAGGTAAACGATTGAAACAGTCTGCTTATCAGTCAACTCACGAGTAAGAAGGAGTTGAAAGGATTTCATTAAAGTCTTCCTACTAATTACAAAATTTCCGGCTAATTCTAAACTCATGCATATGAATAGTTAATAAAGGCATACAGTGATTAGGATAAATTTAAGCTGATCTACATCTTTCTTTTTGAGTTTGTTTTCGAGTTATCAATTTAAGTAATGAATGAAATCCAACCCCTTTTAGAACCCTTGACCTTGTGATTATAAAATCATTAGACAGCTTAACTAAGTTCTCACTGTGAGTGTGCAACAACGTCAGACATTCATAACAATCAAAAAAATACTTCACCCCCCTCAGCATTAATAGTCATAAGTGAGAATTTCTCCATTAAAAATTATTGTAGTTTCTCATTTCTATTTTGGCTTACCGAATAGAAGGTTAAAACAGTAATAACAATCTCCACAAATCCCTAAACTGACAATAATAAACAACATTTTTACTTAGATCAGGAAATTCCTTTCCGAATTATGACATTCAGCTTAATCATTCATCGCTGAAAAACTTAGTTTTGCGGGCCATTACATTAATTAAAGTTAAGGTATCAAGCAAACTCGATAAGCTTATTTGCATTAATCAATAGCCTTTTGGTTAAATGTTTCGATCGACTCTAAACGATATAGATGAATAACAGAGAATTTATTTTTTCATTATACATGAAACTACTAATGAGTAGTACATATCATTAATAGGTAAAGTGTTTAATTCTGTAACAAATTAGTGATTGGTTTAACTTGTAAATTCTTTTTCTTATTCTAATAAATATTCGAAGTGACTAGATTATTATGGTAAATAAGAACTGATACATTCCATCTTTACGTTTTCATTTAATTCTTTTAGTTTTCTTAAAAATCCATTTTATCATTCTAGTTATTTATCGTCAAAATTTTGTTTATCTCAATTATTTAGATTTCTTCGAGATATGGAATTATATTTTATTCAAAATCCACTGATACCTCAATTATGTGAAATTATATATGAACATACTGAGAATCATTTTGAAAACTATGTAAAATATGTACAAAATCAAATGTACCAATTAAGAACACTAACGAAATTATTGTAAGTCATCATTAATATAAACTGTATCATTTTAGATACCCTACAGAAAAAAAATAATGCAGAAAAAGTATTAAATTGAAAGTGTTCTCACTTTTTTAACGAAACATTCCCTATATATAGTCTATCACTTTTTTTAAGATAACATATGTATCTTTAGAAAGTTAAATTGAAATTTGTATTGATACAAAGTATACATTCGTCTTTATTGATAAGATGCCGTCATTCTAGAAACAAAATAGAAAATTTCAAGTATAGTTCAAAGAATCATGGTTTTCAAATGTTCTATTTAATAAACAAAAAATTATTAAATTACTTATGTGTAAATGAACAATAATTATCTCTGAAACTTAAAGACTCATATCAATTTCCATTAAATAAAAATTCATTTTATTTCAAATCTTTTCATTCGTTGCAAATAATCTACAACTAGAATAAACGATCAAATTTTTTTTAAAAAACACATGTAAATTGTTGAAGTTTAATTCAAAAACAGAAATAGACAGTGAAAAACACAAATCTAAATAGTAAAACTTAGCAAATGAAGTTGTAAAGTATCGTTAACACAAATTTATATTCGTATTAAGTGTCGTACGATTACTAAAAATGAAAAGTGACTGTTACTGATAATCACATAATTTCTAAATAGTGAACAGAATCATTTGTTATATTCACATTATATTATCATTTTAATGATTAAGATCTCCATCTTTAAATTGCTGAATAAAAATTTTCTCTTCATTTTTATCATTCTTTATTTCAAACGTAATAGTTTTCTATGGAAATGAATAAAGGTAGCACGGAAAAATATATCAGGAATTATATGCTATTTTGTAATGTGATAAAATATTTTGAGTATTATTTTTACATTTATATTAGTAAGGAATAAAATCTGATGAAACTGATCTATGTCACAAAATCGTACTTACTTACTCCTGTTACTCCTAATGCAGCATAGGCCACCGACCAGCATTTTCCAACCCACTCTGTCCTGGGCCTTTCTAGTTCTATCCAATCGTTATACATTCTTCTCATGTCTGTCTCCATTTCTCACCGTAATGTGTTCTTTGGTCTTCCTCTCCACCTTTAGCCTTAAGGATTCCGTGTGAGGGCTTGTCTTGTGACGCCGTTGGGTGCTTTCCTCATTGTGTGTCCTATCCACTTACAGCGCTTCTTCCTGATTTCTTCCTCCTCTGGGATCTGGTTTGTTCTCTCCCACAGTAGGTTGTTGCTAATTGTGTCCGGTCAACAGATCCGAAGTGTTTTGCGTAGGCAACTGTTGATAAACATTTATATCTTCTGGATGATGGTTTCCATAGTTCTCCAAGTTTCCACCCAATACAGTAAAACTGTCTTGACACCTGTATTGAAAATTCTGACTTTGGTGTTGGTTGACACATGTTTTGAGTTTCAGATGTTCTTCAGTTGTAGATATGCTGATCTTACTTCTCCGATTCGCGCCTTCACATATGCATCAGATCCACCGTGTTTATCAATGATGCTGCCCAGATATGTAAAGGTTTTTATACCTCCAAAATCTTCTCCGTCAAGTGTGATTCGATTGGTGCATGCTGTATGGTATGCCACAAAATCTACATTTCAATAGTTTTTTAAGGATTACTAATAGTATAATTAAAATACCAATTAATAAGTATTGAGTCAACTTATATAATTTTGTTTCAGATCTTCTCCTGCTTTTGTAGAAGCAGTTCGCTCAATACAGCAACAACCAAGCTGTGGATTCCTAGATCTTAATTCCTTCCTATTACTTCCAATGCAACGTGTTACACGTTTACGTCTTTTATTGACTGCTATCTTACATTATGCTCCTAAAAACGGTGTTACGTATCAAAGTGGTTTGGTAGCCCTTGCGTCTATAGAAAAAGTAAGTACAAGAATAAATACTTTACTTTTGAAAATGACGTCATGGTTAAATTTAAGTTAGAAACTATGAAATATCATAAAACTTCTAGGCCAATTAGTTTATGTATTTCAGTGTCCGTAAATATTTATAACTTCCAATTTAAAACATTTCCAGTTCTATTAAATCTTATAATACTACTTGATTTCTTGCAAAATGAGAGAATATCAAACACTAATCAAATGATGCATCCAGATCCTCCAACTTATTTACTGTCTATCATCTCTCAACAAAACATATTATACAGGATTATTTAATGATAAAACTACAGAATATAATTATTTTCATTAACAAAACACTTTATATTGCTAGTTTTGCATTCCCTTAGCTTTTTTGTAATCAATGAATTTAATTATTGTTGCTCTAATTGAGGTTAAAGGTTCTAACAAATCGGTATGTTTATAAATTGATAGAAAAGTCTCATTAGACTCATGCATTGACAAACAAAAACACTTAATAATTTTCTAGGGAAACTCAATTTCTCAGAGAACTGGTAAGATGAAAAGTGTCAATCTGGCTATTCGCTGATCTTTTGCAACTGTCCGACCCTAAACAATCATCTAAATGTAGAGTTACTTTATAGAATGAACAGGCTTGCTTGAACTTCTGGTCTACCTGTTCCTCTCATCGAAATATTTACACAAGTTATAATTTTTTCTTTTGTTTTAACACACTCTACCTACTGATCGCATAACCTATTCAAACACATTTATGAAAAGTTTACGACCTATCACATTACAAGTTACAAAAAGTACAATCAGAGACATCGTGGTGGCTGGTAATGTGTATTAAAAGGAATAAATACTAATCAGATATCGATTACTGAACTTTTAAATTCTAACTGCCAATCACTAATTAACACGGTGGACTATCTTCGGTTCCTGAATGTTTGTGACTTATATAAGTCTTCTTTGCGTCAATCATCTTATGTCATGCTTCCTATATCTACAGGTGTGAATAATAATTGTGTTCCAATTTTCACTAAAACTGACGTCCGAAAGTGTCTCCAGTCACTTAATTCATCGCAATGTTTAGGGCCTAATGAAATCCTAAACCTCTTTTTTAAGAAGTATGCTGAAGTTCTGTGTTATCCATTTTCAAGCATCCTTAGCAGATACTTTTCAACTAATCTCATACCGAAAATGTGGAGAAAGATTATGATAACCACAATGACTAAGAAAGTATCTGGCGATAAGAATGTGAAATTTGAATTCATAGTAATAACTTCATCTTTCCTCAAAACAACGAAAAAATTATTGACACTGACACTTCAACCTGCACTAGAAGAGCACATTGATCCGTATCAGTTTTCTTATAAATGCAAAAGAGGCACCTTAGATGATGCTGTTGTTCTGCATCATAATATAGTGTTCAGCTTGGAAAAAGATAAGAGGTTTGTTCGATGCGCCTTTCTGGACTACACTTCTGCTTTTGAATCTATTCTAAAACGACTTCTACTGAACAGGTTAATCAGCGTCAACAATGACAGCTGGATAACCATCTGGCAATGTTTTCACCTTTCTAGAAGAGAAAATCACACTGTGTTTGGAAGAAAGTGTTCAGCGTCACTGTTGTTTCATGAAAGTGTGCCACAAGTAGCTGTCCTGTCCTCTATTCTTTTCTCTCTTTTTGCATGATCTACTATCTTTCACAGAGAACACTTGTTAAATATTAGGAAGATATCACTAAACGTATTCCGATTTTTACCTTTTTACATCCCTTTGAAATGAATGAGTTGTTGTCTCTTACTGAATGGTGGTCTGTTGTTGATGGTATCACACTTAATCCGTCTAAAATTCGGTCTGTTAACTTTAGCCTGAGACATGAACAGCACTCAAACACCTTGTTGGAACCCTATAAACACTGTGTCAAAGTCATTTATCATAGTGTAAGTTTATATTCTGACCTCTCGTGGTCTTCTCATATTTTGCGGTTATCAAAGACGCTTTTCCGTCTGACATTATTATTAATAGCTTTATTCCATATTATATTTTTTGTACAACGTGAAATTCTCAGCAAAATATATTTCAACGAGTTTCTTTTACAAAAAAGAAAAAAGTGGAAAAACTTATAGCTCCATACATATATGCGTAAACTCAATAAATAAACTACCCGGAATGAAAAGAAATAACCTTTTAAAGAAGATTTGAATCTGTACAACTTTTCTAATTAGAAACATGTTTAAGAATACAAGTTATTGACTGGGTAAACTCTAACAACCTGTTCTTCACATTGTATATTTGTTAGATGAGATATTGTAGAGCTTTTTTATCTTTGCTTGCGTGCACGGATACTAATATATTGACGCCTCGTCTTACCAAAAGATTTGCAAGAAGAAAGATATGAATGAAGTATCTAATGTGATAACATCTTCCAGGAGTTTGCAAGATTTATAATGTCTATCTACAACCATAATAATAACCCAAAAAGATTCACCACACACCCTGTTAACTATCTTCAGCAATTTCCTCAATGCAGAAAAGTCTTTTCCCAAAAGACCAGGAAAGAATAATGGAGAACAGTAAAGAGTAGTAATGTAATATGCAAGAGTCGACAAATCGTAGGAGCAAATGTTGAATAATCCCAAAAGCATGCAACTCATTATGAAGTATAAAATCTCTACAATATCTCATCTAACAAATATACAATGTGAAGAACAGGTTGTTAGAGTTTACCCAGTCAATAACTTGTATTCTTAAACATGTTTCTAATTAGAAAAGTTGTACAGATTCAAATCTTCTTTAAAAAGTTATTTCTTTTCATTCCGGGTAGTTTATTTATTGAGTTTACGCATATATGTATGGAGCTATAAGTTTTTCCACTTTTTTCTTTTTTGTAAAAGAAACTCGTTGAAATATATTTTGCTGAGAATTTTACGTTGTACCAATAATATAATATGGAATAAAACCACCAATAATAATGATAATTTCAAAAGTAAAAATAATGATTCTTAAGTCTTTAAAAATGTGTTCATTTACGCCATTTATACGATTATTGTCATAAATACTCAAGAGTAATTGTCCACCAAATACAAAAGTACCAGTGGGAAACTTTCTGTTCTGTAAAATAATTGAGTAATTTTAATTGAAATCACGAACCCATCCTAGTTAAACAATTGCTGAAAGCACCGAAGACAGTAGGAGGTAGTCAAGTAATGTCGTGGAATGATTGATGTTGAACAACCGTACCACTGGATTCCAACTTAGTAGTCCGGATGTTAGGCGTTCGTGAGCAAAACCGAAGGTATTTGGTCGAATTATCGCTGGTAACGCCGTGGATGCACATTAGTGAGAAGTCCCATAGTAGAACAAAATGGTTATCTAGTACTTCCACGAATTTAATAGTTATCTAACTCAGGTTTGTTTGTAATATCACTCAAATCCAACAATGATTGTTTATCAACGAGAAACTTATCCACGCTAAATTGGTTGTGTGTAAGTCAACGATCAGTTTCCACATCACTCAGAAGTTTTAAATTATATATGATCAGTATTTAAGATCATGGAATGATAATCATAACAGTTCACTGACAAATACATTATTATTCTTATTTCGAACTCGAAAGTCAAGATTATACTTCTCAAGTATACTTGAAAATAGTATTTCATATAGATGATCTGTTAAACAGTAAGAAAAGAAGATTCTATGATCTTCATCTATGATAGTGATATAGGTATCTAAATTGATTATTTCAAAAATAATTTCTAGATTTTTAAGTTACATATGCAATTTTACTGTTTCTAGTTTGATTAATTCGCAAAATTACTCATAAATCAGTACTTTTACATTGTGTTTTGAAAATAACAAGGTTAAATTTTTCGTTTAAATTACAGCCTAAATATTTAAACATTGAATCCTACTAAAAATAGCAACAAAGCATATTTTATATTACCTTTTATGATAATATTGTATTTGACTTCAATAAAAAAAACTTTGTTAGTAGTTTTATTCTGATAAGTAATGTGATAAATATTTTCTGTTAGAAAAGTTATACGAATACCAAATCGATAATTGAAAAACATAATATATTCTATGTGTCACATTGTTATTGATATAAAATATTTTAGAAAAGAAACGCATTTAATTGTAGTAAAATCAAATAATCTTATTATTGGTATCTAACTTTAAAATAGGTACTGATTATTTCGAACAATCAGCTAACTGAAATAATACAATAGTATATCATTGAAATTTACTATTCAGTGTATGATTGTCATTCAGTTTTTAAAAAAAAAACAAAGTTGCTAATGAATTTACGAAGACCGTTAATACTGAATTTCGTAACTGATCACCATATACAACAAAAATATGTCAAGAAGCTACACCGCCAAAGTTTCGAAAAAGTTTGACTAAATACCAAAACTATTATGCACGTCATTGATTGATCTGCCTTCAACAAGTTATGTGACTTGTCACAAATACTTGTCAGTATGCAAGATGCTTAGACACAACAGAGATTGAAAAATACCTTAAAATGATTGAAATAAAGAAAGAGGTTTAGTTGAATGGTGAAATGATCAGTGCTATACATACAACATTTAACGGCGGTCAATCACGAAACCTTTACAGAACTTTATAGGTTGGCTCATTTTAAAATGTGCTCACGAAAAGTAATCTGTTCTAAACTGTAAATCAAATAACCAAGCATACCTTTAAAATATTTCAATTGACTGTTAGATTAATGGAATAATTAGACAAAATAATTTCAACATAAAACATTTTTGCTTTAATCTTCTTTTGTTAATTACCTAAGTATTCTGTGGTTTTCTAAGAAATTTAACATTTTATTTTTACTCATAGCTTATAAGTAAATGTGATTCAGAAAAAGCTCGTATGGAACAAAAAGAACGTCTTGTAGAAATTTGTAGAAGATTAGAATACAAATATGATGCAAAGGTAAATTCTATTTATTAATCAAACGAATTAAATTATATATTGTGAATCTTTCTTGTTTTCAAAATAAAACAAAAAATATAAGAAAATAATTTAAATCCTTAAAAAATAATATCCTAGTCTTAAGGAATAAATTAATCTAAATAAAAAGATTTCTAATGGATGATTAAAAACGTTATGTGAGTTTCTCCTGCCCGTAATATCTTGTATACATCAGGACGCGATATGTAAATATTCATGAAATAACTATTATTCTGATATTTTTTTATTTATTTGAACAATATCAATCTTGTTTCTTTTGTTTATTTCTGCTCATTCCTAGTAATATGTTTTACCTCTGTAACTGATATGTAGTATCTTTGATTAATAACAATCCAATAAAACCACACATCCACGTCCATACCATCTTTCTATGTTTGTATATTGAGTTGAATCCAAAAACTCTCAATTTAAATATACTTTGGAATTTTTGACAATCCATGTGTTACGTGTACAAGACATGAGCAAAAAACCCAACCTATGTGATAATGAAAATTCGTTGATATTGTTCACTTGTCATTATGTTTTCTTACAGGTTGTACTATCACAGATGACTTTTAAATCTACAATTTCTTCGAAGACTGATAGCGGTATCTTTATCTTGTTTAAAATGTTATCACATTTTTGTTTAGCAATCATTTCCATGTGTTATATATACCAGATACCTTAAAACCTCAACATTCATTTCTTTGGAATAAAATTCATATTTTATTTGAAATAAACACACCCCGATTTCTTTACACTACTTGATCAAATTTATTGGTTTTATCCATTTTACATCTGCATCTCAATTATTGTAATTTTATTTAAATTTTATGTATGCCTACTCGTAATAAAACAGTCTTTGGCTACGGAAAGTCGGACTCTTGTAAAAGAAGGTGATCTACGTCTTTTAACAATGACCAATGTACAAGGTAGCGGATTCCACCGTCGTTTCAGCAGTATTCGTAAACCCAAGGCAACAATAGCAACTCTATTTCTATTTAGTGATTACTTATTAATTACCAAAAAGCGAAGGTAATGTGTACTTTTAGATCTCCGTTTTATGTTTGTTTCGACTCTTATTGTGTCACAATAATTCTTTGAGAAGATTCACTACCACTATAATTTTGTCAAAATAATGATCGAACACAGTGATATAAGCCAACATCTATGTTTAGTACATCAATAAACTACATGAAACATCCCAAAAGGTTATCAGGTTTTAATATTTTATAGTTGCAAATCAACTTGAATTATTGTATTAAAAGGATGTAATCCTGTTTGATGTGGTTTCATTTTTTATGTTTTAACCAATCTCTAATATAATTAGAATGAAGAGATAATCAAGTATTAAATGAAGTGGCTGGTATCAATAACAACTACCCTTGTCTCTTTGAAGGACCGCAATATGTATTCCTAAGAACGACACTAAATTGATTATAGCTAGGCTTTTTAATTTAAAATCTTTATAGCAATGAATTTCATTCTAGGGAGAACCAAAATGTACTCAGAAAACCCTCATCAAATGTAAACATTTTATAACTATCTCTGTAAGTACTTGAACGGGAAACGACTTATTATTTAAACTCATGTAACTCAAATGACATTTTGAGATGGAATCATTAATGTACAGGCGCATATATCACTTACTAAATAAAAATGACTAATTATTTGTTGTAGTCCTCCTATTTGACTTTCTGAATTTATTGAGTAGTTTCACTACAAGTACTTGCTATCATCTTTTAATTTTTTTATTATAGAATAAATAACATTAAATTCTTTATTAAACATTCACAAACAAAGTTATTGAAATTTAATGATTCTGAATTTCTATGCTGTATTAAATCGAAATTTTTTGTATGATAAAATTAATAATCCCTATTTTGCCAAGAAACAGATATTTCGCAAAAATACTTATTTGTTGACTTCATTTTCAAAATCTGTACAGTTGTATTCATATAAAATAAATGATGTGATGAACAAGTTGCTTTCACTGTACATTTGTATAATGTACGAAATTCGGAGAAAGCATTCTTATTAGTAGGTGGATTAGTTTATAAAGAAATCATTAGACGGCCTAGAAATTACAACTTATATAATAGAGTAAATGTCAACACACGAGTATATGATGCGAGATTATGGTGTAATTATTCAAGTAGATAGGTAAAAATCATTGTAATTAACTGTGGTTATATAATCCCTCGAATCGAATAAATTAAATTAAATGAATTCAACTGGGAAACGTCCGCATTTAATAAACTAAGGGAGATGAGATTACATTTGAAATATAGATAAAAAGAAGGAAATGCAAAAACGAAACCAAACTTATGAAGGAAAAAAGTAAAATTATAATAAACGCTACCATTGACAATGCTTCAATAGAAAAATATCTGACCCTGATTTAAGTATTCATGTAGTAGTTTTCATAAAAATGAGGTATATGGATCCGAGTTCACCAGATTAGGTTTAGTCTTCTACATAAGACGTCACGAAGAGTTTGCTACCACGCAGTTATTGTCAACTCCATGTGGTGTAAAATAGATGGTTTGGTTATTTTAATTTATCCTTTAAGTGAGTCATAATAAGAACCACTCTCAATGAACTTAGTATATGCTTCCATAACGAAAATGTATGGTTTATATATATTTCACACAAAAGACAGTTATCTACTCCTTTCACTTCCATTTATCTTCAAATATGAAGAAACTGATCTTACACTGAACATTAAGAAATAAACTTACAAACATTCTAGTATCAGTTCTTCAGTTCCTTTGAAACAAGAATGTAATTTAATTGACTCATTTTCTTATCTTTCATTTTTGATCAAAAATGGTCTTAAACATGTCTCTAAAATACCAGTTTCTGATACATCATTGTTTATTTTAAGCAATGGCGTTGTCATTAACATCCTTATGATATGATCTAATAAAAGTCAGGAGAAATTCAGTTGCTTTTGTAATCGTCACGTTTAATTTATTTTAAATCACCAAAACTTTATAAGTATTTTTCTAGATTTTAATTTACAAATCTCTTTCATATAGTTTAGTTACTAAATTCAGATGCTTAACCTCCTGCTAATCTTTTTTTCATTCAAGTAATCAGCATTTGTTGGTTGAAGATAGTTGTTCGTTGAACTATATTCACGTGGAGGCCCAAAATGCCTTACGCAATTGTTTCATACATCATTTCTGCCGATCTGGGGATCCCAAATTAAATGCACAATTAAGACATGTGACTTATGTAAAAACGTTGAGTCTTCCTAAGCAAACTGCTACTGAAAAAGGCAACGTAAATAATCAAAAACCACGAAAATTTTCTACAGATACAAATAATGCAGATGTTGGGCTCAATGTATTTTCGTTTCTCCTAGTAATAGAAGGCCCTGATCATCCACGTGTTCAGTACGTGTTCCAAGCAGAAACACTGTAAGTATAACCACTTTTAAAAGTATTACTGAATTTTATAAAGATTACAAACTTATCTAAGTCAAAACCAATGTAAAAGTAAGAGTACTAGATAACCGACTCGTCCATTTATGGGACTCCCCACCAGTGCACATCCACGACCCCACCACCGAAGACCGAACTCAAAACCTTCGTTCTGGTTTACAAACGCCTAACCTCTAGACCACTTGGCCGAGATCCGATAACTTCTGAGAACGAAGGTCTTAGGTTTAACCCTTGGTGGCAGGTTCATGAATGCGCAGTTGTGAGAATTTTCATACTAGAAAGAAAAAACTGCCTAGTGTTTGCAGGTTTCTGATGGTTGTCTAAATTAAATCGGTTTCTGATCTTCACAGCCGCTTTCGTTTTATTTATACATTTACCACAATAAAATGAAGTATCGTGTTTTAAGCTTACCAACATAAATAAAATAGTATTCATTTTCATATAAGTTTCACCCCTATACACTTGCATTTCATCTTTAATACGCACTTGTGGTTTATGTTATCAAGTACATTCAAGTTAAGAACAGTTCAGTAAAGCTAACGACTTCGAGCTTAAACTACTTCATAACGCTAAGTACTTCGTCACAACTGCTTCGACTTGTCGAGCATTTCTTTGTAACTTATACTATCCAACTAATTATAAGTGAACATAATTTTCTCATATATAATTTGTAGGATTGATTTTATCTATTATTATTACTTAAACCATATATAGAGACAACTATCTAACCGTAAGTTGTTGTTCAAACGGTCACAAGATTGATTTCATGCTTTATCTTTTCCAAAACGTACAAATAATACACTCGACGTGATAACTATGTATAAATACTGACTCAATATAAACAAAAACATACGTTGACCAATATTAGTTTGAGATATATAATAAGTCGTATTCATCACAGAAACTGAAAGTTAAATAGTACTCCGTTATCGATGTTCATCTAATGCATACAGGTAAATAGCAGTAAATTCCAATGATGTTTTCGTTTCTGTGAACTTTGCGTTATACTTCAGGAATTCATTGAGTGCCTTCAACGCAATGAGTTGATCACAGGATTTTAATCTCTGAAAAATTCCCATAATTTTGTTTTAATATAGTGAGAATTTTCCAGAGATTAAAATAGCAGTAAATAAATTAAGGCAATACCAACATAAATGGATCTGTTTTTAAAGATGAAAAAAATAAGATCATGATCAAAAATTGCCATACAATTAAAAAAACATTGTAAAATCGTCTTGCTTACTTTTGGGACACAGTTTTTGTGTGACAAGTGTTTAATAGAGATGACTTCCTCATAAAAAAGCAGAGATGTTTTGGTTTATGCACGTATTATTTGTGAAGTTTAATATTTCAATCTTGCATCCTCTACCTGATATTTGCCTTTTAATTATACATGAAAATATCTGCACTTTTATACAGAACCGTCTGACTGAATTTTTGTAAAATTCGGTAAAAAATATTAACTAAGTCTTTTCTAAATACTAGATCCTTCCAAGTACATGAACTTCTTAAATCCAGATGTCAGTTAAACTAACAAAATCTTTTATTGTCTTTCATTGATTTATTGATCAACCACTGTGGTATGCTTTCACTAGCCAAGCTACCGAGAGGGTTAATTATAGCAAGCTATTGTTCACTTTTCAGTTTACTATATTTCACCCCTTTTCCAGAACAAAAGAATAAAATTATCTGAACGATTAGTTTTTCAATGTTTTGTTCACCATATGTAATTATGTTTCTTAGGATATCTAACATTTATGAATAAATAAAACTGATAAAACCATGTTGATAATACCGCCGCTGAACTGATTCGACTAGACTCAGGAGAGAGGATAAAATCAATAGATGAAAATTTATTTGGATGAGGGTTTGTGGTGGTTGTAGTGACTTTAATCGATTTTAATCTGTCTAATCTAGATTATGACCTTGGCGCAATAGGCTGAGCGGTTTAACCTTGAGTCTGGTACGCGTGAGTTCGAGATGTGGTAGAGAGAAAGCTATTCTAGAACCTGGCAAGCACGCAAATGAGAGAGGACAAGACAGTTGGAACACTCTGAATTCGGATTAGTGCAAAAATGTACATGAATAAATAAGTGAATATCCTGACAACAACGTACGACAATTTGGGAAAATACAATTATGTCCAAAACTGGGAATTAGGGTAGAAAATAAGGTGCAAAATATTATGTTTAAATTACAATGGTTTCGGAACAAAAAAGGGTATGGCAGTGAATGATACATCGAACGAAAGCTCATGTTCTGTAGAATAAGATAGGGACAAAAATAAATATAAGTGTTTTACAAGGTTTGAATAAAATGAAATAACGTCCCAAGAAATAGCTTACGTAGTTTGTCTGGGCTTCTTATTTCCCCGTTCACAACACCTACGAAAGAAAATGATTTTATTTTGTCGTGCAAACCCTATTCTTGTTTTGCTCAACAAATTGTTGTTTTATCACCCAATTAATTCCAAATCAGTGTGTCTAGAATTTGATTTAATCAAATTTAAGTACAGTTGAATAATAGTGACAAAAAGTTGGTTGTTAAAACCGGCATTTTTGTTTTGCTTTTTTATCTCATGATTTCTGGATAGGAATCTTCATCGACTTTTGAATTTCAAGGTCATCGTAATGCATCCAAACAACTTAGTAAACTATTGTGGGTTGAAGTATATTAAAACTTCAGGTCAAAATGACGCATTGCTATTGTGACAGGGATCGATAAATTAGTCTTACGAATACATGTGCAGTTTCAGTACACAGCATTACATACTACACAAACATGCTGAGAATATCTTATATCTTATACTAATAATATAATTTAGTTTTGTTTCAAGCTATTTACCTTTTATCAAGGAAATCAGTTTATAATTTGGTTAACAGGCCCTGAAAACATGTAGAACAATCCTCTTTCCAATTTATCATCATCATCACCATCATGAGCATAACTAATGGATAGTTACTTTAGTGTACTATATACTATGTTCTCAGAAATTACTACATTGATATGTTGATGGATATTAGGATAGTAATAACTGCAACAATGAATCCATAGTGTAATAAATAGGAAACAATGAAATGAAATTATAAAACATAACTACTTTCAAATGTTAATTATTTCGTTGTTCGTTTTGAACAATTACTTATCTGTATCCAATAATTACGTGTGATGAAAAACTTTTGCTCATTCAAATGGCAAACATATCCAAATAGATCAGTAAGATTTAATCTTCTTCAGTAACAGAAATGAAATCTTTTTTGTCCTAACCATTACTCATAAAACTTCTTAATTTTTGTCGTTTTCAGTATAATGGATAGTAGCTATCTTTTGAAATTGTTATTTCCTAATAATCTCATTTCTTTCCAAACTTCTGGTTCGACTAGCAAGTTATTCGATATCAGTTTAAACAGCATCGTCTACGGGACTCATCATTCAATACTAGAACACTGTGAAATATACTTCTTAGTTTCAAGACTTTAAAACAAACAGTGTCAAATCTAGAACCAAAATTTACCCCATAAGAATATTTTGTGATATCCACACATAGTGATGAGAGTAGATGAATACAAATAAGTTGAGTCTAAATGGGTTGTTTTATAACCATAGCTAAATTTGTATTTCTACAACGGGCCCTTCCAATTTTAAAAGGCCATCGTAACAAATGATCTTACTATCTGCATGCATGAATTTTCTGTTTTCACTCATTATAACATAATCAGTTTCCACCTTCTGAATTTCCAATTTAACATGTTCGGATAATCAACGACAAAAATATGTTTTTCAATACAGTAGTCTGTTAATTATGCATAAAACATTCATTTATAAAGGTTTATGTGAGGAAAAAAGTACATGGCTAAATGTCTCACCATAAATCTTTTACGTTTTCTAAGATAAATTCCTTTCTCTTATTCAGAAGAAAGTGCAATAATCCACCTTTATTCCAAATGGTTTATTTAAATTATGTATCTAATGTTTTAATATATTTTCGGAATGTCAATAATATTATGTTCTTTAATCTGGATTTTAGCCGAAAACCTCTCATTATTTCCCTAGACAACATCATCAGTATAAATTCTCTTCTATATAAACTATCTTGAAGAATTAAACTTGGTATTCTTTTAGAACATGTGACAAGATGAAGTAGCTTCTATTATTTTTCTTTGTTTATCATTTTGTAATTTTTACTCAGTTCGAAAAGAGAACGATGGTTGGATGGTCTTTCATGTGGTCGTCATGGTATCCCTGAAAATCTAGGTTCGGACATCTGCGGTAAGTAATACTACAGCAAGATTTATTTAGGGATAAAGCATCACATAGTGTAGATGAAAGTATAATAATTCCACCTTACTTACTTACTTACGCTTGTTACTCCCAGTGCAGAATAGGCCGCCGACCAGCATTCTCCAACCCAAATTCCAATTTATTGATATGTATATACAGGAGGAATATGTTTGATGCGGATTAAAAGGAAATGAAAAAGCTTGTTTGTTAACTACCATGTGATTAAGTTAGAATACATGATCATTTAGTCAAGAATTCATGTTGCAGCATGAGTTGTAATGTTGCATTATGTTACATTATGATTACTGTAGTGTACAGGCAGTAAATTATTTTCTATAATCGACCACAGTTTAATTATATACGGAATTGGTGATGCTACTAGTTTGCAGAGTGGATATTCGTGAGGATGAAATATGTTGAATCAGTAGACCAAATAAGATCATGAATATCCAGCTTTATAACAAGTTTCGTTGCTTCGACTAGGTACTTTTATAACAATTTTTACTTGATTCGTTACGGATAATCAACCGAGCCGTTTTGTCTGTAATCGGATATTATGTTATTAAAGTCGTTGATCTCAGTGAAACTTAAGGAAATTAAACGAAGAAAAACTACATAAGAGTTTTGAAGTTTAAATGATGATTGATAAAACATACAACTTCATTGAAGTTAGTAAGTTGTTAACCAGCTGGTATTCTCACATTTTTGGCTTAATGGGCACCTGATAACCAATTAAATCAGATTTCGATACAAAAGATATTTCTATATAGATTACCGATAAATAGGTATGATTAATGAATTTTTATCCCTTGAGTTTGAAAAAACATCTTTTACAAATCACATGAACATCATCTTATCTTTGTGGATCATTTTAATGCAATGTTCAATAAATGGAATTCGGTATGAACATGTATCATCCTAGAATTTATGATTTCTGTATTAGTAGATTCTTTCTGAGTATCTTCAGTATGCATTATGACATTCCCATACGATATATATTCCTGTAAAAGCACTTTTCTTCTAGACACCGGTACTTGATTTTTTGTTACACAGAATGACTGAAATATTGTTCAAGTCAAAATCTCCGATACAATGTAAACAGAGTATTACAAAACATTAAAAAGTATTCAGTTGGCAACCTGTTCCATTAATTACTTACAACAGCTAGTGAAAACGAATTCTAAAACATTATTTCTCAATTCACTTGGTGATATTTACTTGTATCTTTCCATTGTTATTTTGGACTGCAATTGATCAGTCTCTTGTTGGCATATGTGCATCCTGTGCGGAATGCCTCGATATTGTCTGGGCACTGGATTCGAGTCCCAGAGCGAACATCAACTATGAGATGCAGATACGTCCAGCTTATAAGTCCTAAATGGGACGAAACGTGCGTCCTGGATTCCACTGCTAGCCACTATCCATCTTCGCTTATAAAACTATTTCTGAAGCTGAATATACAGTGATATCACTAACCCACTCTGAAAAGAGTGGTTGTAAATGCCCACTTTGACACTCAAAATGATACAGAAATCATTAGAGTACTTACTTTCTGGACTTTCTTAGCTAGGTATAACGTAACACACGAGAATTCTTCTAACTCACGTAAAGTCAAAACTAAACTATTAAGTCGGTCTAACACGATGACGTCGTTACATGAAGTAGCCCTCATCTGATGTTTGTTATTAAAGCTCTCAATTATTTAATGTAAAGTATAGTACTTTGTAGTAGTTTAACGGGGAATTAAATAATGCTTATGTTGTTTGAACATATGATAGCTCGCTAGCTGTTTCCACTAACAACCTACACCTAACTTGTATATAGTAGTGTCAGGTGATAATATGTGAGTCATACATTAACTAAAATAACCCTCACAATTATTAGACTGTTTAAGCAAACAAAATGTATACTAACATTTATGAATTAGTGATATAAATAATACAACGATGTCGTAGACAGTTTCATGATAGTTTATGAATATAAATGGTAATTCGGACCTTTACAATAGTATTCCATAGGGCACTGAAACTAGAAAACCTTGTAGTCTAGTGTATAGCTTTATATACCAAAATAACTGAAAAAAGGAAATTTAGAAAATAAGAGTTAACTATAACGAGAGTTATCACAATGGCAATCATATAGAATATCATTTACTTCTAAGAAGGCATTTTACATATGCTAAGGGAAGCTACTATTCTTCTTGTTCAGTGCTTTTTGGGTTTAAAATCGACAAAAATACGAATAGTTATACTTTAGTCAATCGATTCACAATGTATCTGGGTTTCATTTTTAGGTCAACATAAATCCATGAAATAAACAACATATGAAGACGTCAGTGAATTAACATGTAGGCTATTTGACATTTGACGCATTATCTATAATCGAAAAATCTTGATTACCGTTTCATCAGAAACATCAGTTAAGTAATATTACAATAAACATACTGAAAACCTCGAGTTGTAAACTGCAAAAAGACAACAAAGTCTGATGATACGAGATCATTGAAACAATAGATAAAATTCAATGAAAATCCAATTGATAATTACTGACTAAATGTCCGATGAATAATTCAAATACACATCTTAAACTTTAGTGTTAATATCATAAAAATATAACATACTTTGATTATAATATATAATAAGCAATATTTTGTATATGATCATAATGAAAATCAACATTTAGAGGTCAAATATTACTTTAATCATCACTGATAATAGTTGTGCTGATATATTGGATGGTTAGTTTTTGGAATGTTTACGGAATAAATAATAATACAATTTAGGAACACAAATCATTTACAATTTAGAATTCAGTTAACCATATGAATTGTTCGTAAATACTATACTCTTATTTCTACTTTTTTTTATCTTATTACACAGAATGTCCTCAAGTACTCATCACTAAATCTTATTCTGCTATTGAATGTGATGAACTAGAATTAAAAGAGGGAGATCAAGTTAATGTGCTTGTCAGCTTATCAGATGGTATCCTTCAATTATTTTCACTTTATTTATGACTACTTTTTTAAATATTTTTAATCACCATTCACCAAAGCTGGTTTCTAGTTATCTTTGTCGGAAATGATCATATATGCTGAAGTTAAAATATAGTCGATTTTTTCTTGTGTAGTCATTTGTTGTCACAGCACTCTAGACATTGCCTTATGTATTTATTGTCAGACTATGCGAATTAAATACCATACTATGCATGAACTTGAGGTTAGATTCATGTCCCAGCAATTTACAAATAAATAAATAAATTGACATGGTTTATCGTCCTGTAGTTTGTCTTGTTATTTCACCTTCAAAAGATAGCTTCTGTTAGCAATTTATAAGACGTCAGTAGAAAGCTAAACCTCTAAATTCATCAACACAATGCACCCAGTGAATGATAACTCCGAAGCTTTTTGCTACTTTCACAGAGAAAGCCTCGTATTCTCGGTTACTTAGAGATATTGGTCAAGGTCTTATTGTAATGGATGAGAATACATGTGGGGATAACCAGTTGTGTCTTAATATAAAATTATGAAGTTATTTGGTCAAATGTGAGAACCATACAGTCAGCACTTTATTTGCAAATACTCCATCAACTGTCTCAAACTTCGTCGTTCCTTCAATGACATAACAATTACTCTGTTCCCGTGCTCTTCCATTCGATCTTCCAAACATTCTGCTGCCAGGCATTCCACTTCTGATTGCTGTTATATACTACTTATGTCGACACATGTATCATACATCGAAGCTGAATGTTTCAGAAAACATTTTACTGTTTCTTAATTGATTAGCCACTGAGATTCAGCTGATCAGCCTCAGTCTACGAACACTCAGTATTGATTCAAACCACTGAATCAAAAATATAATGGTCCACATTTCCGAGCATACAACTTGGGTTATTGGTGATATTTATCTCACAAGCGATTTGATTCTCTACCAATGATTTTGAAATAAGAACTCCGTAAATCAGCATAAACAACTGCTTCCCATGAGAAAAATATATTAATTAGTATAAACTGCATCGCAATTGATTGATAAATTTAAAGTGGTGGAACAAAAAATGTTTGTGAAATTGAATCCACACGTTAAGTATTTGAAGGTAGTCGATAGTAAATCCTTGATCCAGCTTTCGTGCTACATGCTATCCATCAGAAAAGCGCACCTATAGTCTTGAGGGGGGCAGTGTTCCCTACGGATCCTTATCCCGTACCATCAAACCTGACAGTCAGAGACTATATCAGTGAGCTGTTCGAAGAGCGTCTGGCCTTTTATAGGACTGAGTTGTTTACAGTTGATTGATCTCTATGTAGAAATCAATATCACGTATGTCCAGTCCTTAAAGTACTGATGGAAATCTATCGATAAACATATTTGCGACAATGTAAGTTGACTTATTCACTTATCAGCGTAATTCATGCTAAACTTGGTCTTTACACTTGCATTTACGTTTACAAGGATTCCTGAACATAACCTTGATATAAAACGCTATGGGATAATTATAATACATAACTTTTAAGGTTAATACATTTATTCCAAAAAGTATTAACTATCTGAATTTGTTCGAAAGTCATTAAGTGCATTCATGTTTCAAATTTTTCACTGGTTTTTAAAAACCTTTTTTTATAACACACGTACTTCTAAGGATCACCAAAACTTACACGATTTTATTCACAGAAATATGGTCCTGATACCCACTGCTTGATATTATACCAGGAAATTCAGCACCTCCTATAAAAACTGTAACCGAAATTAATCTTATAAATGGGTAAACTCATTACTGAATTAGAGGGGAAAATATTTTATTGTAATTATTTATATAATAATATAGGACACTAGTAAGAGTTTGTATTATCTTGTTGCTGGTGGTTAACTGGACTCAGTGATTTAGTGCAGAACGCATATGACTTGGAATTGATTTACACTGAGTTCTAGTCTCGGTTTAAATAGCCCTGCTATGTCCAGCTAAAAAAATTACAGATAGGAAGGGACATGCATTCAATATTCCACTGCTAGCCACAATCCCAAAAATATTAATAGTGTAAGAGATCTATACACATTTAGTATTAAAGTTGCTGCAAGGATCATTAAATCTTGGTCAATAATTTTCTCTAAAAGAATATGTGTTAAATATCATAACTTTATACAAAAAGTAGTATCAAAAAGAAATCGCTTTTCAAAATAGCTCAAAATATTTTTATTTTACAGGAATAGTGATGCTTAAAAGTACATGTTAAATACATTTGACTGGATTCTCTAAATTTATTTATCTGGTGTCTTCAGAAGAGAACAAGAATAACATAAAACTAATCATTACACCGTTTTTTAAATCCCTTATAGGCTGGCTCAAAGGAGCATTACCTGACGGTAGACGTGGATGGTTTCCAAGTCATATTTGTACTGAAGTCAAAGATTCATCAATGAAACGTGAAAATATGAAAAATTTTATGCTTATGGAAGAAGCTAAAGCAGCCTACAGCGTGAGAAAAAGCCGTGAAACATTTGATGGTTTTCCTAAAATGAAAGATATTCAAAATAGTGATCGAGACTTAGGAAAAATTAGACCAAGATAATACAACATATAAAGAACGATGATGAACTACATAGCTAGTAAACGAAATTATGTTTTTATTTTACTCTTTTCTCTCTTTTCATAACCTTTCTTTTCTCATACTGAATGACCAAGATGGAATACTAGACAAAGTGTTGCCTAGCAATAATCCTAGGAAAATCATAATCTTACTTGCTTTTTATTTTTAAATAAACGATAACAAATAACAATCGCTGTTCACCATTTACTTCTTAATGAATATAGCACTCAAAGAGTATAACAAATATGACCATCTTTAAACTTGTAAAGTTTCTGTTAATTTTAAATATTTAAATGTGGAACTTTTTCAAAATATTCCAACTGAATCAAATCCATTATCAGCAATAGGACTTTAATTATGTACAAACTTTCAGTTTTAAACTTTACGATTTTGATAGGTCATTGAAACTGTTTTACTAATAACCGAGAATCCCCTCACACTAATCTTATTGATGAATTATAGTAATTCTTTTTACGATTAACTACTATTTGTTCAGAATTCTTAAAATTAACCATATGAAAATATTTATAATCCTATAATAATTTGGATAGTAAGTAATAAATAAGTATTTACAACCAGGATAGTAAGTAATAAAAGGTTTACAAGTGTTTGTTTACAGAACAAACAGCTTCAACGTTTACAATCACCGTGACCATATGCAGGTCTTTGTGATATTTGTTCATTTATCAGTTGGATGTTCTCATACCTTTATTTCTAACATCATTTCATATTACGTGACTAAAATTTATTCGTACGCGTATATGATAAACAAGCCTCACGCCATGTTAACAAATTGACTGTTACTGTATAAACACTTATCAGGTCTATTTTACCTCTATAATACTAAGTTAGAATCTATTCTTACTTGAAAAGCTTAACACTTTCTATGTACGCGATGGAATTGATTACTTTTATTCTCATGACACTTAAGAAATTATGCAAATCCATATACGGATAAGCTCGTACACTGATAAACTGATGTTTAAATCAAACAACAAGCATAGAAGACAGTGAGACAGTTAATATCTGCCAGTCAATTAAGGTTTCAGTGATAAACCGTGACACATACCTAGCTTTTGATACTTTTAATGACCAATAATGACTGAACTACGTTTTTCCTTATAAATATATTCCTATAATATAATTTTGATTGTTCTGTGTATTTACTAGTTTATTCTCATTAAAATTATACGGCCAACTGTAAATTAATTTGAAATTGTTCAGAACAAAACCACAAACAAAGGAAACTGAGTTATTCATATAGCTACTTTTAGTTATTTCCAAAGCAGCACCAGGTTTGAAACTCATTGACGAAGATGTAACACGTTCCTTACAACAACCAAACATTTAAATTCAGTTCAAAATCTTATAGTCAGATTGCATGCCTTCACTATGAATGTGTATCATCATCAAATTCCAGTTCTCACAACAGATTGGATTAAGAAAACGCTCCTTTTACAGCAGTGCGTAGTTTTTCGTATGCATACATATAAACAAGCTCTAAGATGTAAAGCACTACACACATATTCTCTATACATGGGATGTGACGAGAATCTTAAACTATGAAGTTTGTCTTTTATTGTTTCCATAAGCTTCGATTTTAATGAATCTATATATCTGAATCAAGTACTTTGTATCCTAGTTAGAAAGAAATTGCATTTGAATCGAACTAAAAATGTTTGCATATTAATCTTACGAACAACGTTATGATGGGCGGTGTCTTCGCGCTAATCGCCAGAACTGACCACTTGAGCGAGAAGACAAGAGCGTAAGAAAAAGCCTACTGGGCTACTGAATAAAATGCATAAACACTCATTTATTTAAATACATTACTACCCCTTAGAAAATCAATTAATTTCCTAGCCAATCATATTAATTTGCCCTTCAAGTCATTTCAGAGTGTTATTGAGGACCTAATTTGGTTACTTCTATTTTGTTCAATACATCAGATAACTACTACCGTAAATGGAGATCGAATTATTGAATTTATCTACGCGACAATTCGAATATGTGTATCGTTTACGGTGGGATAACATAAATTATCTCTAGTGGCATTTTCAGCATTCACAGAATGATGAATAAGTTCAAAGTAACCGATGAGACATACTGTCGACTCACTCTACTCCTTGGAGTATTTACTTAGTATGTTCTACAACAAGTATTAAATATGTAAAAGCTAATCAGAAACAATAATTTCTACATTATTTTTGACGAGGATGACATAATCCTTATTATCCATAGGTATCTATATCCATGTTCTATGTACGTTTGTGCATACATTACGCCTTCAATGTTAAGTCATAAAAACTGAAATACTATAGACACCTTAAGCGCAATTCAAGTAAATATCTTAAAGAATATTAACTCTAAATCATTTATACTCAGCTACATTTTATAAAAACTCGATGAGCAAAAGATCGAAATCCACTGAAGAAACAAGATTATTGACATTAACCGGTAATAACATCGATTAAACCGGTACACGGGAATAGTAATTATAATAAAGCTAGAAGTAAACTTAATACATGATTCCTTAGGAAATGACAAGTGGAAGCTTGAAATGCAAGAAAAAGAAAAAGAGAAAAATAAAGAGAAAATTAACAGCACAGCAAAATTACTGCTGTTAATAATAACTTGTGACAACGATTTTTAAATCGATTCACAACAATTATTATAATGACTAGTAGTTAATCATCGAAAATAAATAAAAGCACCTGTAAACTTCAAAAGATGAACGTACATAAAGCAGCTCCATAAAACACAAAGCAAAAACAAAAAAATCAAATGCAATACAAACAATAATGTTAGACTGACCAAAAACAATAACTTGTGTGAAAAGCAAACGAATTCTGAACTTCATATAAATGCAAAAATTGACGAATGGATAAAACTGGATCGAGCAATGTAATCAGCATATTGGTCAATACCGGTGCATATTTAGAAATGCAAACCGAAATTGGGTTAAAAAAGCAAATGAGATGGATGAGATCACATTCCCTGAACATTGTAGAAGTCCATTAAAAAGTCATACTGCATTATCAGTTCGTAAGACAAATCTACCTGCTTCTAAGGGTTCTAATATTTCTTCGATAAGATAGATAAGCGGCAGGCGTCTAACAGTACAAAGCAACGACAGCTCATTTCCACGACGAAGCTGAAATATGGCACCATCCGCTAAACTACGAGACAGAGCCCGATCAGCCACAATACTCCATACCTGCTGTCCGCCTGGATGCACTAATTTAGGAAGTAGAGGATATGGATCTAGATTGTCTGAAGTGTTAACTTGCTTGATATTCTGTTGATACTTGGCTCTCTTCACTGTTGCAATGGCTGCTGCAGCTGCGGCTGCGTCTTGTTGTGGTGTAGCAGCCGAAGGATTAAATCTTTCCAAGAAAGCGTGAGGTGACAGGCCATAAGCTAAGCAAAGAGCAAGATGATCAATTACCATATCCACAGGGTGACGAGCTTGTTGACGTGTAACACGCATATACTTTTGTAACGGCCTGATGAGAGTTGGGAAAACAGCTTGTGCTGCTTCGTACGGATCCAAAGATTTTCCTGGAGAGCAAGTAAGCTTTGACATCCTTCCATTACCTATAATCAAAATATAAACGCAATGTAGTGCTAAGAAATAATAACATAAATATAATTATAACAAACGATGTTATACAAACTAATTTGCGCGATTTGTAAAGGCTGATAAATGCAACACATGAACTGTAACAAATGAAATGCTTTCGGGCAAATGAAAGGTCTAGGTATAAAGATTGATTACCATGTTAACAATACTTCAGAGACAAAAAGTGTATACACCGACGCCACTGTGATCGATTCTGGGACAGGTTGCCCAGAGTCTGTATTTAACAACATGGCTCAGACCAGTAGTTAGTGACCTAATGGACTGATGCTACGTTTTAGTTTAGCCACCCCTAACTTACTTCCAACCATCCCCAACACTAGTCAGCATTGAGTGTCATGGTAATCAGTGTTCAGGCATACGTATCACGTAGCTTAACCATCTCAGTCGATGAAGATTTACAACTTAATTAATTGGTTTACCATTATTCCCTAGTACCCTGCGTCAAACCTCACTAATACTTACTCGGTGATCCCAGCAGATGCCAGCAATATTTCTAAGGCACCTGTGGTCAAATACTAGTAGCTTACCAGCACCTTCTACTCTTAATGGCCACGTTTCGCAGCCGTAAAGTAGAACAGAACGAACTGCTGAGCAGTATACTCGTCCCTTAATTGATAGACAGATATCTCGCCTTTGCCATAGATGAGGTGAGTTGGCAAAAGCCAAACGAGCTTCTTGAATTCGTGCACAGATTTCGTCAGACACCAACCAGTTTGGGCTGATCAGACTTCCAAGATAAGTGAAGTTGTCGACGCGTTCGACTACTTCACTCCCTATCCTTAATTCGGGTGTTGACGTAGATTATTCCTGAAGCAACAACTTGCATTTAGAAGGGGAGAAGCCCACCCCAAACATTCTGGCATTGTTGCTCAGTTCTATAAAAAGACTGCATTTTATCAGCGTCTTCACCAAACATGACTATGTCATCTGTGTATTCTAAGTCGATAAGTGGGTCCCCTGGAAGGAGACTAATGCCCGAGAATTTAGTCTATGAGAGCGTTATTTCCATCAGTAGATGGATGAAGTTAAACAAAAATATAGAAAGTGGACAGCCTTGATGGACACCACTTAAATTTGCAAAAGCAGATGACAGTTCGCCATAAGCTCTGACTCGACTTGTAGTGTTCGAGTAAAGAGCCTTCACAAGGTTTATGTACTTCCGAGGTACGCCTTTCAATGACAGACACCACCACAGAATCTCGTGGTCTACCGAGTCAAATGCTGCTTTTTTTGTCAAGAAAGACCACCATTGTCGGACACCGATAAGTATGCCTATGTTCTAGGTGTGTGACTTATCACCATTAGATAAAATTCATAGATTCTGAAGACAGTGTTCGTATTAATCTTACCAGAATAACTGATCAAATTATGTAAAACAGAATGAAATAAATCAGTTTACTGAACTTTTAGCTAAAGAAACATGTTTGTCAAAAGACGACATGAACAACCATAAATATTTCCCGCTATAATAAAAAAGGTATGCAAAGTGACCATTAAGATAAAGTAGCTGTTTATACCAGGTAGAGCGACACAATGTTGAACTTCACACAAACGACTATCTATCAAACCTGTTATAACTAGTAACACCAGAAGACAGACAATAGAAATGGATGTTGGAAAAAATATGGGCGGAGTGGGTGAAATAAGCGAATAGAATACCGTATTTACTCCGAAATTCGCGAGAATTTTGGTTACTTTATACTTCAATATACGATTCAGACCAACAGTGATTTCACGTACTAACGTTACAACCTCGTTCAGGTTTTTTAAACTGACCTTAATTCAATCGGCATCAAACATTAAGTTAGGGAATAAGTTAGACAATTCCTGAAACTCATAAAACAGAAATTTACTTCGCTCAGCTGTGCAATGATGTTTCCGCAATGATAATATATAAGAAAACTCAGTCGTAAAAAGCTTAGGACTTAACACAAATATGAGAAGGTGGTATTTTCCTCTACTCAGCATCAGCAGAAAAAGAGAAAAATAAAGGAATCAAAATAATAGCAGTTATTTTAGAGGACCTATGCACTTTTTCAGGTACACTAAATCAAGTGATACAATAACCAAAATACTGCCTACAATTCAAAGGTATCTAGATATATTTCGTTTTTAATAGCCTCCCAAACACATAGAAGTAGCACAAATGATGGGAAGAAATGCAGAAAACTTACTTCGATTGTTTTTGAAAGGTACCAAGGTTTGATCACACTCACCAACACCAACAGTTCCCTCATTATTGCAGTTTTCAGCAGCAAGGCGCTTAACATGAGTAAAAGCCTCCTCAACTGCCAAAAGTAGTCTCATGCGCCGTTTACGTATCCTTTTTTCCAACTCAATTTCCTCATACAAACGAACTGAAGCACTAGGGGCAGTAATAGCACCAGACTGCTCAACAGTATACGTAACACCATTTTCTGATTTACCTAGACCAGCCCCACCACTATCTACATCGTAAAATTTATACTTGGACCCACCGCCATTTCCACTACCAGAAGCAGAACCACCGCGACGATTACGTTTACCTCCACCCCCGCTGTTGAAAGATAAGTTTTGATTTGGGTTGTAAGCCTGTAAATACACATTTTTAATCAAATGAGGTTTCATTGCGCTTAAAGTAATAACGTGATATGTAGAAGATACATCTAAAGCTGTAAGCATATTTGGTGCGATATATGCACTAATGATGGATTTTTAGGTGAGACTGTAATTTATGGACAACCTTTTAGCGACGCTAAAGTGACCTTGAGAGTTTTCACGTGATAACTAGGACCAAATGAGGGTTATAAACCGACGTGAGGAATTAGAACTATGATTTACAGTTGATGGTTAGGATTAGGAATTAGATTTAGTTTTCACCACGAGCTGACAGCTATAATACCAAAACTCTATTTAGCCAAATGGATGGGTGAATTTCGCGCCAAAACACGAGACCTGTTATCTCATACCTGATTGGTTCGTCCTGCTGTAACCTTTTACTTTCTTCATAAAAAGTGGTTGTTTCTTCCTTAACTTAAAGAATTCTTCAGGTTGTACCTTTCCGTTTCCCCCATTATTATTAATAGTACACTACCATACACTAATCTATGATCGTTATTGTTCTTTTTTTTCTTTTTCACTTCCCATCCTCATTGTTTTGTATGGCGCATATATATCTGGTGCCCCCTTGTACCAATATTCATGTGTTCAAATAAATAAATAAATTATAGTCTCGTCAAATATATTTCTGATTTAGTCGAAATACTAAGTAATCAGTACGGACAACAGTCTATGTTTTATTACTACATATGTAAAGTGAACAGCAAATATTTTCTTCCCAACAAAATTATCTCAGCTGTCAGTCCTGATGACCTAGTGTCTGGCGCAAACTCACCATGAATTCAGAAAACTCGATTGGCTTTTGCCAACTTACGTCACTTGTGGCGTTGGACAGATATCCAAGTTTACTGCTCACTAGTTCATTCCGTTCTATTTTTTGGGTGTGAAACATGGCCTTTAAGGATAAGGGATATTTACAGGTTAATAGTATTCGATCATATACATATTCGAAGCATTGTTCGTATATTTTGGAACCACCGAATACGTAATGATTGGGTTAGGGATAGAGTATTCGGTAAAGATGGAAAATCGATGTATGAGGTAGTAAATCCTCATTAATTGAGGTAGTTGGGACATGTAGAATGTATGCCCAACCATTGCCTACCTTGACGGGCGATGTTATCTAGCGTAGGAATAGGGTAGAAGAAAGCTAGAGGCGGGTATACCAAAACATGGCATCAGTCCATGAGATCATTGACAGTTGAACTTAGCCATTGTAATATGTGCAGACTACCTAGTTGGGGTTCGTGTGATTATCGTAACTAATGGTTAGAGAATTTGAATGACATTGCTTAAAATCGTTTAAAGTGAAGGTCCATAAACTCCTTGTTAGTCGAATAAGTTTACTCCTTTGGTTTAGTCTTTCCTTTACATGTTGAGTTTATTTTACCGACCTCGACCCACTAACTATTAATGAGTATGGCCTTGGAAACCAGTGAATGTTTTATCTTAAACACTAAAGAAATAACACTGTTACTTATTTTTCAGAATTTATAAAATTTATGACCGATGGTAGTTGAAGATAGTTAACTACGAACCATCGATTATCGACACCATTTATATTTTTCGTAAATTTTTGTTTTTTGTAACTTCTTCAGAATGTCAGGAGTAACTTATAGGCATCATTAAAATCATATGAAACAAGAAATACTGATAAAGACCTGGAAACGATAAAATGAAAACATACTGTGAATTCTACCATGTAGAACTGCAAAACTTCTATGGCCGCCCGCTGCAACGACATCTCTCCACACTTTAAAGTTCTTGACATTCCATCTGGAGAACGTACAATGTGTATGACGTACTGAAATCGGATTCTACGTAGTTCCATAAGGGCGATAACGGCATAATGTAAAAAGAGTAAAGTATCCGTCAAACTGCCGGCAAAAACTACTATGGAAAGATAATCAGATTCCTTTGGCTGTATAACACGAACAGTATAAAACAACCAAAATGCAAACAGAACAACTAACACAAGACAAAGAAAAAGAGTTCGACAAAGACGGATACGTGGAAGTATGGCAGTAGCACTGCCACAAAATGGTCGACAAGGGGAACTTAAAAACCACAGCGCGATAGCGAGAAGTACAAGTTTTACACATATACTGATGAGATGTCCTTCACAAGTTGGTTCACACCCTTCGGTCGACCATCCAATCCAAAACGGAAAAAGTGGGAGTAAAAGCATTAGAACTGGAGACAGTAATGAACCAATTGCCAGAAATGCAGAAATGGCAAAACTTAATGTATGTGAGCATTTGAACATTTTTATTTCATCCGCTTCGGATCGTATTAAAGCAGCTGCAGCACCGCTAATATTACAGCCGGTACCACCATTGGCATGTATACCTAGTGAGGTTGCTAGACCGTAACGTGCTCCAAATCGTGAGAAATTGTCGCCACTGAGTCCAGTCTCACTTGTAGCGCCAGTGACAGCAGTAGCCTCTTCAACCCAAGCATTTTCATCTTGGTTCGTAAGTTGTGGGTCAAAACGCTCAGACCGGTATGGTTCTGGAACTTGTGATGATGGTTGAGAAGGTATCTGGGAAGGTGAAACATGGGATGCAGCAGTATGTGCTAAAGGATGCTGTTGTCCAGGAGGTATGAAAGAACCGACCTGCTGTTGTTGTGACTGAAGTTGATTTGATTGTACTCCTGCACAAATTGGGGGTCGGGTGAATGGAGAAGGCATAGACGGATGAATTATTTGTTGGGCATATACCTGCTGTACAGATTGATCGGTCCAACTCTGAGCGTTAGGGATGTACATGCTTGGCTGAGAACAAGAGGAGAAATTGGGGTTCATTGGCATTAAAGGGGGAATCCATGTTTCTAATGTATAAGGATGAGAATTAGGCTGTTGCATTCCTATTGGTTGCTGCGGAAACATGCTCATATGAGGCTGTGGGACAATTGGCATTAAATTGCATTGAGATTGACGGACAGCTGTATCCACATTTTGCATGCTCTGGCCAATAGCTAGTGGTTGGTTATGAGAAGCTAACACACTCTTTACTTGTCCTTGGAACATACACGCGGGTTGACTGGAGGTGACATTACTCGTCCGCTGAATGCGTTTTGACCGACGAGAACGGTCACTTTTTTCACTTCGTCCACTGCGCACACTTTCTCCATCCATATATCACCATTTAGATGGATCTAAGAAACAATAATGAATAATCGATAAATTTATTTTGGCATAAAGAATTTAGAAAAGCATTTTATTATAATAATTGGTTTTAAAATGGGAAAGCTTGGTAAAACGTCAGAAATCAACCGCAACTTTCACCTAAAGAAAATATTATCTTGTCTTCCCAAAATGAATATGTAACGTGGTCTTGAACATGGAGAGATAAAACAGGACATACTACTAGCATCAACAGGTTAAGACAAAAACAGTGAAGCAAGTGAAAATTTAAATGTTAAATAAGACCGACTTCCAGGTCTGAACCAGGAAGTTTTGACATACTCAAATGATTCACATAGTGGTTTAATAGACAGATACCAAAGCTTAATCTTCCAAAATACATAGTAAATTGACACATTCCTACTGTTAGCGGGACATAGACTAGATTAAAGCATGCTCAATGCACGATTGTTTTGGTGCACGCTGATTGGCTGATTCTTATCCAATCAGCACTAGTCGATAGTCGGAGAATACTCTGGAATCTTCTTATGTAAAAACTATAAATATACCAACGTTTTCCCCTATTGTGCTTTTGACTTGCTATTTGGAATATAGTCTTTTTCCTGTTCAACCGTGTTCTGATTTGGGGACGTGTCGAGTGAATCGGTGTCCGAGAATACTAAGCAATAGGAATAGCTGGGTCATTAACCGTAAGAAGAAAGAGAGATTATAATACCTACTATTCTATTTAGAAATATCTCATCCACCAGGTCAACAACCCGACCTAGTAATCAACACCAAACATCAATACTTAGTAAGCCGGGGATTCTCCAGCACCTACGATTAAAGACCTGTAACACACTCATATCTTCTATCAGAAATATCTTAGAGAAAAGAAACAACGAGATGCTCGGCACTACCCACCACTTTAGAAGAAATCAGACAACTTGTTTGAACCCCCCGAATGCCTTGAAACGGCCAAGAGTAGGGAGAGTCAGCTCCCCCTCTCGAAATGCTCTCACATGGCCACGCGTATACAATCACTGTCAAGGAAGTCCTACTCACTGCCTTCACACGGCATGGTGTATGAACCATTTGTTGGCCATCGACTACCATGTGACCGCGTCTTGTAATGTTGCTCCACCGCCTTGTGGATTAGACCTTCAGGTCAAAGGTTCGAGGTGTTGCCCCTTAAAAAACCACCTGCTTTGGTTTGAGCGCCCGGGCAGTATCACATAAACCAAATGATTGGTGAGGCACATATATACTTGGCGCCACCTTGTACAAATGTTTGTGTTTAAATAAATAAAGCTAAAAAGAAGCAAACGAGGCTTGTGTATGATGATCAAAATCGTGCTAGTCATTAACCCAATAGAACTTGGACATCAGAATGGAGTAATCAACATAACCAATTATTTTACTCCTGAAAGTTGAACTAGGTAGTGGCTAACACTTTATATCATGTGAGAAACCTATTTCAAACACTTCTAGATTGTCACTTTTAGTCATTCAGTCATTATCAACGTAGAGACCTGAATAGATATATGAGTTAGCCTAAGCTACCATACCACAGCACGAGATGAAAATAACAAGACAGAAAGAAAAAGAAACCGAAATAATGCAGCAGTAATGATAATGAGAAAGACTAACCATTGAGTTTATGATTCATGAAGACAGTGGAAGTGTATGAAATACTGATACTCAACATCCAGAGGAATCTACCTGTGCTGTTGTGAACTATTATGAACAATATCGACCGACCGTGTTTTTTGCGGACCCCCAACCAGTCACTCAGTCAACGGCTGCTGTCATGTTTTGGTTCGGTTACTCCTAGCTTTTTTTCTAATTTACTCCTATACCAGCGAACATCGACTGTTGAGATAGGCAGTGACCGGGTATAGGTAACACATCCTAACTACTTCAGTCGATGATTTTCAACTTTATCAATCGATGTGCGCCTTTACTCAGTACCCTATTCCTAACTTCACATTATGTTCAAAAGACCAGTTCGCCAACGTCCTTTCCGTAAGAGTAAGGTAACTTTAACCCCCTCATTTCCTGACGTGCCCCTCACAGGGAATAGTGATGGGCGTTTTTGTTTTCTTAGTGTAACTGCCTTAACAAACAGTAAGTCCCATGAAAGATAGAAGAGAAAGGGTGCCTGTAAACTTTGGGCTGCACCAGTGAGCAAGGAATTCCAAATGGGACTTATGAACTATAATGAATAGTATCCAAAATATGAAAGGAAAATATCCTACATAATATGTAATTCATCCATATCTTTTAATTTACTTTTATGTTACAGTTCTGCAAAATTGACAAAAACATAGCTTGGTAGAATAAAAACTACGAAGGACAACTTCAGCTAAATTTAAAGATCTGATCCAGTTTAAATTGGGACCAATACATGAACACTGAATTATATGAAGCAGTTTCTGGGTTATATGAGTAGAATTCACAACTGGTTCTCATATTGTATAGTGTTGCCATGATGCATTCCAGTGGTTTTCGGAATGTCTTAAAGGTATTCGTGTAATCTACTAGGTCTGAGTCAAGTGGTACAATCTCTGTACAAATACAACTCTAAAAACTTACTGCATGACATACGTGGTTGTGATCAGTCAGTCAGTATAACAACGTAGAACTTCGTACTTACGTACATCAGTTCGAGTTGCCACACCACATTAGCACAGAGATGCAGTTGTCGATTCAAATCCCGTAGTGGTAGAGGTAGCAAGAGTATAAGCAGTAATCGGGAAGATTAGGGTTTGGAGATGTTATTTAAAGAGTATAATACAGTGAAATAAATTTGGAAAGAGGAAAAAAAGGGACATGAAGAATTCAGAAGATTAGAATTTGGGAGAACACAGAGAGTGGATGCACCTGCGCCATTGCAAACGATTCTGAGCCATGTCATTCAGGGTCTCTAACCATCGGTTGCTATCATCTCGCGGTCCCCAACCAGGTAGTCTACACCTACCAACATGACTCAGTCCACTTGTCAGTGACTTAATGGATTTGTGCCATGTTTTGGTCTGGCCGCCCTTAACTTTCATCCAACCTACTCCTATAACACTGAACATAGCACGTCGAGGTAGTCGGTCGTTGGGCATACGTAACACGTGCCCCAGCCATCTCAACTGATGAAGTTTCACTAATTCATCAATTGATTTGCCATCCTTACCTAATACCCGTTCCCTAACAACTGCATTGCTTACTCGATGGTCCCATGGTATACGAGCAATGTTTCGAAGACACCTATGATTGAATACTAGTAACCTACGAATATCCTCTACTCTTACCGGCCATGTTTCACTGCCATAAAGTAGGACGGAACGAACTGCTGCGCAGTAAACACGTCCTTTGGTTGATAGACGGATATTTCGCCTACGCCATAAATGACGCAAGTTGGTAAAAGCTAGTCAAGCCTTCTGTATCCGTGCTGAGATTTCGTCACACACCAGACCACAACGGCTGATGAGACGTCCAAGATAAGTGAAGCGGTCGACACACTCAACTACTTCACTCCCTATCATTAGTTCAGTTGTCGATACAACCCAATCCTGAAGCAACATTTTGCATTTCGGGGGAGAGAATCGCATCCCGAACATGCTTGCATTGTTGCTTAGAGTGGTCAGGAGACTCTGCATTTTGTCAGCGTCTTCACTAAATAAAACTATGTCATCTGTATATTCTAAGTCAACAAGTGAAACTCCTGGTAGAAGTTCAATCCCTGGAAATGTAGATGGAGTGTTATCTCTAAAAGTACGTCGACCACAAAGTTGAACAAGAATGGGGAGAGTGGACAGCCCTGACGAACACCATTTGAGGTAATCAATTCTGATGACAGTTCGCCATAAGCTCTCACTCGACCAGTTGTGTTCGAGTAGAGAGCCTTTACAAGGTTAATGTACTTCTTTGGTACTCCTTTCAGTGACAAACACTGCCATAGAACCTTACGATCAACAGAGTCGAATGCCGCCTTAAGGTCGAGAAATACTACCATTGTGGGGCGTCTGAATGTGTGCCTGTGTTCTAGAACCTGACATAGTGTGAATATCTGATCTATACAACCACGTCCAGGTCGAAAACCGGCCTGGTTTTCTCTAATCTGCTGTTCACGAGCTTTGATTAGGCGTCGAAGTATTATTGAAGCTAATATTTTAGACACTATATTAGTCAAACTGATTCCTCTGTGATTGTCACAAGAGGACTTTTGTCCTTTCTTATAGACTGGCACAATCAGTGATTGAGACCAGTCAGATGGGATTACGTCCAGTTCCCAAATTCTACCTAAGACCTTGGTTAATCTCATTGCTAATACTGGACCACCATCCTTAAAAATCTCAGGAGTAAACCTGTCACGTGGTTGTGATCGCTACTATATGGAAAAATGACTGAATTGGAAACAACGAAATCGCTATTTCCAGTATTCCTTAATGTTCTTTGAAAGTGTTGTTCAGTTTTTAAAGAATCATTTACTTAAGTACAAGTGCTCCAACTTTAGTACAGTAGATTACTGAGCATAACTGTGCGTAACTTTAGACATAATTCCAATCGTAGAAGAATTGTACATAAAGTTTCAACTCCGCTCCTATACTGTGACACTCAATAAATTAAGGTAAAAACGAGCAAAAAATAGTAACTAATCTTATATGGTAAGAAACAGCAAGAAGTCACATATACTAGTCTTCGGCTTTTGACTCATAAGAAACAAATGCCAGACAATCATAACTAATGTAGAACTAGGTAGGAATATCTATTGGCCTAGGTTGCCATACCTTATAATGGCACAACAAGCAACAAATCACCAGAGCTGAGAATGTCAACTATGGTAGGAAGTTAGACGTGCAGTATATAATCCAAAAGGAATTACCGAAATCAATGGGAGAGACTATACAAGGGATTCAGAAGATGAAATCCATCTAATTTATTTATTTCGACACAAATATTTGTACAAACGGGCACTAGAATAAGTATCCATCACAAACAAGATTACGAAGTGATAAAGTAAGTTCAGCTAGTCAGCTAC